GAGAAACTGAAAGTGCAAACAAGGACTAAAATGTAATAGATATTGGGAAATGGGAAGAAAATGTTCAAATGGGAAGGGGAACAAGGGAAGGAGGAGGGGAAAGGAAGGAAGGGACAAGAGAAAAAAGAGAATAGAAGGAAATAAATGGAAACAAAGCTTTTTTCTTTCTCTTTTTTTTTTTTTTTGGTACCTGGGATTGAACTCAGGTCCTTGCCCTTTCGAGGCAGGCAGCGGAACCACTGAGCTAAATCCCTGGCCCTAAAGCTTTTATAAACAAGGAGGGGAAGAGTGGTTGAAAGAAAAGGAGGGGAATGGGAAAAAAAGAAGCACGATGAATCACGTACAGGTACAAATTCCCTATGATGAATGTTATTATTATGTATATCTAAAACGTACCAATACAATTTTGTAAAAAGCCAAAAAATAAAAGTACCTCATAGGATCAATACCTGGGACAGAGTAAGCACTCATATTACCAGATTTTAAAAAATACGTTTCCTTCCCCTCCAACTCCCAGATATTTTATTATTCTTTCAGGTTGCATTTCTTGGGATTTAATTATTTTGACTTCTGAGACATAGACTTTGTGGAAATGGGGATTAGGCCTCTCTTATCTGTTACTGGCCCCTCACATATTGCACAGTGGCTGGTGCTTAATGGGGTTGTTGAGTGAATACACGAACACAGACATAATCTCAACCCTCTTATCCTAGTATTTACCCTTCAACACCTGGCCACTAGGCAGGCAGAGTGGTGCCCATCTGTAATCCCAGCACTGTGGGAGGCTGAGAGAGCAGGATTGAAAATTCAAGCCTAGCCTTGGCAATTTAGTGATTTAGCAAGACCCTGTTTCAAAATAAAAGATGAAAAAGGCCTGAGGTTGCAGCTCAGTGTAAAGGCCCTGGCCAATCCCCAGTACTGAAAAACAACAATAATAAAAACAAACAAACAAATCCAATACCTGACAATTCTAGAGATGTGAAAACTGAGGCCCTGGCTGGGAGTGTAGCTCAGTGACAAAGCACTTGGCTAGCATAAGGCCTTAGGTTCAATCTCTAGGACTGCAAAAACAAAACACAACAAACAAAAACAACCAAAACAGACCTAGACCTTAAAGGTGGGGTAATATGAGCAGTGCTTCCCAGGGAAAGGAGTATTATTTCCACTTGTCAGAAGCATGATCTGGCACCTTAAAGCATGTGGCACCTGCTACCTCCATTGTGAACACAAGTCACAGCCTTTTATTCCAGGAATAATAAGTAGGGCAAATTTTTCATCACAGGAAAGATTAAAAGAAAGAAGCCTGAGCTCTCTGGATGGAGCCACAGGAGGGCTATGGCACTGTTGACTGAGATGATATTGGTACTGTAGTGGTGCCTTCCTCTATCTCTTGTCCAAATACCACTCCCCTCCATCTTCCCCAGCACTTAGGTGCCCGGAAGCCTCATGTTAGAAATGCAGAAACAGAGGCTCCGAGAGGAGAAAGGACTTGCTCAAGCTACACAGTGAATTAAACCCGAATCGACTGACTTCTAGGACAAGATTCCTTTAAGACCTAATTGATTTCAAAGCTCTTAATATGAGAATGGAGAGAAAGAGGAGGTGAGGAGGAGAGAGGAGGCTGGGAGGAGAGAGTCTGGGAAGTATTGCAGTGATGTCCACTGGCACCCAGGCACTGACAGGCTGCAGAGCAACCACAGACCTTGGGAGGGACCAGGGCATCTGCTGGGGAAAGGAGAGATGGAGGCTGGGCCTGGCTGGGTTATTTTCAGAGCTGCTATCTTTGTCTGCACCTGCTAAATTATTAAACTGAGATAGCATCCTAGAGGGTGCCAGGCCAAGTGGCCAGGAAGAGAATAAAGGGAGGGGTTGGATCTCTTAGCTGAGACCTCAAATCTTCTATGCTGGGATGGACTCTTCAGGTTTTCACTTCCTGTTCCACTCCACTCTTACCCTACTGATGGAGCGGCTCTGGTTGGGGCCACAGCCACACTCAGCAAGGGTCTGTTGTCTCCACAGGGTGCTCTCCAGAGGAGGGGGCTAGGCACAGACCCAACAACATGCAGGAATCTGACCTGGGTTGCCTCTTCCCTTGCAGAGTCTCAGTCTCAGATCACAGGTTTTTTTTTGGTACCGGGGATCAAACTCAGGTCCTTCCACTTGCGAGGCAGGAGGCGGAACCACTGAGCTAAATCCACGGCCATGGACCACAGGTTTTTATTAGTTGATCATAACCAACTTGTGAGGTCTTGGGCACATCTTTGCATCTGTTGATGGCCTTGTCTATGCTACAGGTACTAGCTGTCCTATGTCTCACATGAAGACTCTGAAGTTCAAAGAAGAGAAAGGCCTTTCTCAGGGCTGCAGGGCTGTGTTCTATCCAAACACAAGTCTCTCTGATACCAGGCCCCTTTTGTCTTTTTATTCTTTTTTTTTTTTTGAGACAGGATCTCACTATGCAGTTCAGGCTGACCTTGAACTCACTATGTAGCCCAGGCTGACCTGGGTGATCCTCCTGCCTTAGCCTCCCAAGTGCTGGGATTACAGGCATGTGCCACTATGTCCAGCTCTCTATTCTTCTTCTTTTTACAACATTTTTATCTATTTTCTTTTCTTTTTGATACCAGGGATCAAACTCGGGACCTTGCGCTTGCGAGGCATGTGCCAGAATCACTGAGCTAAATCCCCAGTCCCCTCTATTTTCTTTTCTACAAAAGGAATGTATAACTTTTAGAAAGATTTTTTTAAAACTCCATACAAATCATGAAAGTTTATAAAAGCAAAGCCAGGCTTGGCAGTACACCCCTGTAATCCCAGCACTTGGGAGGCTGAGGCAGGAGGATTGCCATGAGTTCAAGGCCAGCCTGGGCTACCTAGTGAGTTCAAGGCCAGCCTGGAGTACATAGCAAGACCCTGTTTTAAAAAAAGGTAGGGATGTAGCTTGGTAGCAGCGTCTGCCTACCATGTGCAAATCTCTGGTTTCACTTCTCAGTATGGGGGAGTGTGGTCCTCTCATTCTAAATGCTGTATTGGGCGGTTGGGTGGTTGGTTGGCTGTGGCTCCTGTGCACTCCTGGGAGTGTGGAGGCTCAAGCCAGTTAAATTAAGGAAGATGACAAGAAAGCTGGCAGATGCCAAACCTCTCTCACCTCTAGTCCTTTGTATAGGGTGCTTCCACCCAAAATTCTCCCTCTCCTTTCCCATCTCTGCATCATTTGCTTTGGTTCATCCTTTTGGTCTCAGTTTAAATTCAACCTCCTGGGGCTGAGGCTTTAATTCAGTGGTGAGTGCTTGGCCAGCATGCCCCAGGCTCTGGCTCCATCCCCAGCACAAGAAAAAAGGGGGTGCAATGATTCAATACCATCTTCAGCTGGCTTTCATGCTCCTTTGTGCTTCCCCAGTCCTGACAGAAACCTTACCACACTAACTTTGGGGGACTTTGGTTTTTCATCAAGAAGAAAAGGCTGCTCATCCTCCTTTAAAGGGATGTGGAGAGATAGAGAACACTCATTCTGTAATTATTTTTTAATGTGCTGGGAATTGAACCCAGGGTCTTTAGCATGATAAGCACACACTTTGCCACTAGTAGAGCTACCCCTGCAGTACCACACCTGTCACAGAATTTAGTGTCCAAGGTCCCCCCACTCAGAGAAATTAGTGCCCAAGTCACCCAGAAGGAGCACGTGTGGGTGGCTTTTGAACACAGATCTGACTGGTTTGCTGGATCTGGTTCATGGTGGGGGAGAGGGTCAGCCCTGGTCTTGCTCCCCTAGATTCATCTCCCATGAGCTGGGAGCGATGATCCAGCAGATGCGGGCAGAGGACCTGTCAATCTCCCTGCCCTAATGGGAGGGCCTCTGTACAGAGAAAGATGAGAGGTTGGATGATACAGAGGAGACCCTCCAAAGGGATGCAACATCTGCTGTGTGTTCCTCCTTGCTGGGGTGACCGGTAATTTCTGAGCTTCTCTCACCCTCCATGAGCCCCTCTGACTCCCCGAGTCCCTCCTCTCCCACGGTGAGCCTCCTCCAGCACCTCTGCACCCATCAATGCCAGCCCCCTCACCGCATCCATCACCTACACTGAAGGCTCACTGAGACCTCACCCCTCACGGAGTCACCCTCCAGCCCCTCCTGGTCCCCTTGCTGAGCCTCCACTACTTCTGGTCCCTGGACACCTCCCTGCCTCTCTCCGAGTCCTCTTTTCTCTTCAGGGAGCCTGGCCCCCTCGCCCTCCCTCCCTGCCCTCTGAGGCCTGCTGAGCTGCCTCTCTGGAGCAGCTGTCTCGCCCAGGAGTCCCTGTCACTCGGGCAAAGGTACCTGTGAGCAGTCAGAGAGTGTGGGGGAGGGGCTTTCTCCTCATGGCCAAGGCCTCTGCAGCCTCCTCTTAGAGTTGGGGCACTACTCATGCTGGCAACACCTTGTGCAGGTCCTCCCAAGCCCAGGCTCTGCTGCCGTCCTTCCCGGTGGCTTTCAAAGCTGGTTTCTGGCCCATCACACCTTGCTCCCGCCTACATAGTCTTCCTTCTTTGACAGCACCTTTCAGCAGGTGCAAACCCAGATAAGGCCATAGTGTCCCAGTAATGTCTGGAAAGGGGAATAGCTGGGACACTGCTGCTGTGTGGTGAGTGGACAGGACTCATGCTTTCATTTTGTCAGGATGACAAAAGTCCCAGATATGGAGGGTCCCTCCGTGACAGGGGATCCAAGGCCCCAGAACACATCAATGGCCGAGCTGGCGCACGTCTGTACAGATTCAGCCACCAGCCGGCAATGTGACCTTGGGCAAGGCACTCTGGCACCTTCTGAGTCTCTTTTCCCTTCCACATAAAAGATGTGGAGGGCCAGGGATTTAGCTCAGTGGTTTCGCCGCCTGCCGCGCAAGCGCAAGGAGCCAAGTTCGATCCCCGGTACAAAAAAAAAAAAAAAAAAGATGTGGAGACATCTGCTGGGAGGAGCATGCAGAGGTAAGGGAAGAACCTGGGGGCCTGTGGCTCCTGCGAGGTGGCACCAAGGTTTGCGGGCTCAGAGGCTACGCTGTGGTGCTTGTTCTGCAAGCGAAGGTCCTGGCTGGCATAGAACAACTGCCCAATGCACATCCTCCCTGGACACCACTCGCTCCTCTTCCTCTACCCATCTGGCGTCCCTGGGAGTTAGGAGGGGATCCTGGCCAGCCCTGTTGCCCGGGAGACCAGGCAGAAACTGATCCAGCCAAGGGGCGGCTTGAGGTATGGGAAGGAGCACTGTGTAAGGAGTCGGGCCCCCAGAGTTCTAGTGCGGGCTCTCACTGTCACGCAGGGGCTACAAGTAAAACCGCCAGGTGCAGACTGAATTCTACGACTTCTAAGGGCCAGGTCAGGAAAGATACGGTCTCCTTTCTACCCCAAATCTGGAGAGAGGTGGATGGGGACCTGATGCCCTAGTAGGGCTGAGTTGGGCGAAGGACCTGGGACCTGAAAGGTTTGGGGAACGTCCTGAACGCAAGGGGCTGAGGAAGGAGGGGCGGGCTCAGGGCATTCTGGTCTCTGATTGGCTGGACTGCCCGTCGCTCCGCCCCGTGTCCTATAAGATGCTCCCATGCTGGTGCTGCGCTGGTGTGGGTGCTGCGGCCGCCTCTCTCTGCTCTTGTGCCTGGTGCCCATCCTTCTTCAGGACCGACAGCCGCAGGCTGCCGGGGGGCGGGGGATGCCGGGCTGCCGCATCAGCGCCTGCGGCCCAGGGGCCCAGGAGGGGACTGCAGAACCGGGGTCCCCCCCAACGCCGCCCCGGGAGCCCCTGGCGTCTCCTCAGCCCCCGCCCCCAAGTCCAACCTTGACCCCGACTCCGGCTCATTCCCCGCCTCGACCGGAGGCGGCCTTGGCGTCCGCGGGCGCGGCCGAGGGTCAGGAGCTGCAGCGCTGGCGCCAGGGCTCTAGTGGGGGTGCCAGTATCCCCGGGCCGGCCGGAGGCGCAGGTGCGGCGACGGGCGCGGGGGGCCGCGCGCTGGAGCTGGCCGAGGCGCGGCGTCGGCTGCTGGAGGTGGAGGGCCGCCGGCGCCTGGTGTCGGAGCTGGAGAGCCGTGTGCTGCAGCTGCACCGCGTCTTTCTGGCGGCCGAGCTGCGCCTGGCGCACCGCGCCGAGAGCCTGAGCCGCCTGAGCGGCGGCGTGGCGCAGGCCGAGCTCTACCTGGCGGCCCACGGTTCGCGCCTCAAAAAGGGCTCGCGGCGCGGCCGCCGCGGCCGCCCGCCCGCGCTGCTCGCTTCGGCGCTGGGCCTGGGCAGCTGCGTGCCCTGGGGTGCCGGGCGGCTGCGGCGCGGCCACTGCCCCGAGCCCGAGTCGCCCTTCCGCCGCAGCCCGCCCCGCGGCCCCGCCTCACCGCAGCGCTGACCCCGCCGCCCGGGACGGGCCCTCGCCGACGGATGGCGTCGCCTACGCGGATGGACAGAGTGGCCGACGGCGGGAAGAGACAGTCCGGGGGCCAGGGGCCCAGGAAAGGAGGCTGAGGTGCGATGTCAGCGGCTGGTGCTTTCGAGGGGGTGGGCGCGTGTATGTGGGGGTACAGGGTCCGGGAATCTCCTTCCTTGGGGCTCCCGGAGTCCTTAATAAAGCTGTCCACTTTCCGTGGCCATCTCTCCCAGGCCACTGAGGGGTGAGGTGATAGCACCAAGTCCTTCCTACAGAGTTGGGCAAATGGAGGGTGCTCAGGTCCCAAGAGGGATTAGGTGGTGAACTTAGCAGCAGGAGCCTGCAGCGTTGATGCAGCGCCCCCACCCTCACTTCTACGCGCCTGGCCTTTTCTGGGCCCCTTAGGGCTGTAAGAAGTGTTGCCCTTGAGGCTGCTGCTTTCTGGCATCGCTCAGCCCCATACCTTCAGGAGGGCAGAATAATGAGGTCCCAGGATGGGGACTGGCACAGAGTTGTGTGACTTGAGTGCTCCTCCTCTGAGACCCTATTTCCCACCTAGGGAGAGGGAATCCCAGAGAGGCTGAGGATTTGTCCCCATCATACTTAGGCCCTCTGCTTCTAGGAGACAGCCCGAGAGAGAATGGGGTGTTTAGCACCTGCTCACCTAGCCCCCACCCCCCCCACCCCGAACCTGTCTCTTAAGATGGCTCTCTAGGATGGGCTGGGGATTTAGCTCAGTGGTTTTGCACCTGCTGCGCAAACGCAAGGACCCGAGTTGGATCCCCAGTACCAAAAAAAAAAAAAAGGCTCTCTAGGAGTGGAGCTGGGTATCAACCTTTAACAATCCCAAAGAAGCAGGTGTGGCATTAGATTCCAGATGGGGGGGGGGGCTTAAAAATAGGATCTGCTGCTTCCTGTCCTGATGTCTTTCAGTTCTTCATTCCTCTTCTCCCACTCAGCTGTGAGTGGCTTGGGCACCACTGCACACAGGTAATTGCAGCCTCACTTAATGGTCTGTGAAGTGGGTATCACCTCTCCCAGAGGGGCTGGTGGAAGTTAACACAGAACAAAGGACTGTCTTCTTCCACTGTAAGTCATGGAGATATTTTACTCTTCTCACACCCAGAAATAATGATTGCTTCTGCTCAGGGAGCCAGGAGTTAATTTAATGTCCTTATTTTACAGAATAGAGAGGGGATTTCTCAAGGTCACATGCCATTGAGGGACAGAAGCAGGTCCCAGGGCTGTGTGTGCCCTTTGGGTGATATCCTAGGCTGGGGCTTGGGAGAGCTGGCCTCTGGACCCCATCAACTGTGTGACCTTGAACCACTCTGCTCCCTCTCTGGACTGCTTTCCTCAGTCTTTCTCCTGTCTGAATGTAGCTGCCCCTCCTCATATCCGGGCTTGAGAGTGGAAGGAAAGGGGAGGATGATCATGTCACACGATTATGGTCTAGAGAGTCCAGAAGAGGGTCAGGTACATGTGACAGGCAGAGGCCCCTCAGCTCACCATCCCCATCAGCCCTTTCTCTCCCCAGGTACCAGACAATCTGGTGGATTTTTTTGCTAACACTCAGGCCTTCTTGAGCCTTTCTTGGCTGGAGAAGGGAGGTCCAAGAGGAGGTTTCAGAGCTCCTGAGAAAGCTTGGGGACCAGGGTCACAATAGGGGGGCCCTGGCATTCTCTGGCCTCCCCTGAGGGGAAGAATCTTCCGAAGCCACTCAGGTCATTTGGAGTCTGGAGGTCCCGGGAGTATAGGAGTTCCTGGAGGTGACAGTGAGGGAGCTCAGGGCGCAGTGTTGGACTGCAGCCAGGACTGCTTGGTTTCTGGGTTGGCAGGGAGGGAACACTTGGTCCAGGGAAGCTTTTAGCTAATGGCATAAAGTGCTTTGTGCCATCACAGTTTTGCCTTTCTCTAAGATTTATTGGTAATCTGCTTTGCCCTGATTTGGGGGTGGGTAAGTAGAGAATTAAAGATGAAACTTTTATGTGTATGGGTGTACATGGAGATTGATCCTGGTGTCACAGGTGACTCTGTCCCCTTCCTCCTTTTTCAGTTGCCCCACTACTCCCCGCCAGGCACCTAGGCCAGGGTGCACAGAGCTCAGTGACTTGCCTCCCCGCTTCTTAGTGTGCTGTCCTCAGCCAACTAATAGGTCACCTTCCCACTCCTGCCTGGCCTACTCAGGGCCCCCTCTAGAAGGTCCCCAGCCTTGTTCCAGATTCACCTCAGTCAACAGATATTAAATATTGACTCAGTCCAGGATTTTCAGAAAGAAACTTGAATCAGTCTCTGCCCCACCCCTTTAGTACTGGGAGTTGAGCTCAGGGTCTTCACACTGAGCTAAATTTTTTATTTTCAGATAGGGTCTCGCTAAGTTGCCCAGGCTGTGTGTTTTACCATGCCAGGTAGGTCTCTGCTTCTAAGGGTGTATATCATCCAGCCCTCTTCCAGGCAGCCTTCCTTGGCTACCAAGGGACCTTTGGGCTGGGCAGTTTGTGTTGTTCTAGGGCCAGTTTTAGACCTCCATTAATGACTGTAGTCTCTGAGTATGAGACAGACCCTTCTCTGCCCGACCCCCATGATGTCCTGAACACTTTCTTGACAGCCCCCAGCCACGGGGACTGGACTGAATACAGGGACGTTGGGTGGGGGGATACATTGAGGACATTGATGTCCACCAGTGAATCTGGACTGTCAGCAAAGGGAAGTGAGGGGAACAGGCGCCTTTCTTCAGGTTAGGTTCTGGGAGAACAGCTTAGAGTTCTAGTTTGGAACCTGCTGCTCACTTGGATGAGCTCTTTCCCTCTCTTGGCTGGCTCCGACAGTATGTGAGAAGTGCCAGCAGAGGGCAGTGATGAACTGTCCCGCCAAGCTCGTGGGCGTGGCCTGGAGGGGCTCGGTCTCCAGTGCCCCCGCCCCCAGCCCGGCTCTGATTGGTGGTCTAGAGGCTTCTTGGGCTTTGAGCTCCAAGGCTTGCAGTGGTCGGCACAGGTGGTGGCTTTTGGAGTGGACGGGGCTGGAAAACCAACCTGCACCCATTACTGGTTCCCTGGGGGCGAGAGCCGACTAGGAAAAGGGGCCCTACGGTGGCCCGGACCTCAGGGTGAAGGTGTATTAGAAAAGACTTCCTGAAAAGAACGGTTACCTCTGTGGTTGCCACTGTTGTAAGCTCCCTCATTTCGCTATTCGTAGATCTGTTACACTGATACCTGATCAGTACATCGGGACCCGCCGCCATTTGGCGGCTGAGATGGCTTCCAAGAGATTAGGTATTGAAAGAACAGGTGCTGAAAGCCTGAAGTGGGGAGGGTCCCGGGGGATTCCCTTGCCTGACCCTGGCAGCTGGATCCCTTGAGAAGGACTCAGGTCTCAAAGCTGAAGGAGAGACTCCCTGTTTTATGGCTTTTAGGGGTGCGAAGTATTTGGGAAAGCTTGGAGAGTCCCAGCCTGTTTCTTCTGACCTTAGTCCCTGACCACACCCTGGCCAGGAGTAAGGAGAGAAGGGAACGCTTGGTTCTGGGATAATACATTAACCACTTCCTCCCTGCCTGGCATTGTGCTAAGCACTTTACACTCATTATCTGTTTTGTTCTCCTAACCACTTTGCAAAGTCAGGGTTATTATCCTCATTTCAACACCCGAGGAGGCTGAGGGTCAGGCAGGGCAGATGACTTACCCAATGACTTAGAGCCTATAAGCAAAGCCTTAAACATTAGGCTACAAGATGCTTTATTCGTGCTAATGAGGGCTCCACTTGGGAGGATCTCTGGGCTCTCACCTTTAAGGCTGTGTATAGTGACCTTTGGTCCTTAGTTGTGGAAAAGAATGTGATGAGACACTGGGGCTGGGGGAGTGGCCGAGTGTGGCCTGCTCACCCTAGGTCTGGGCACACCTCAGCCTGGTTGCTTGGGCTCTGGGGGGTTGGTCAGAGTCACACCTGGCTTGTGCCAGGGCTGGCTCAAGGATGCTCAGGGCTGCAGGCAGGGCCAGGGCTTGCCTTGGAGGGCTGCCTCCTCTCCTGGCAGGTCTGGGCTGGGATGTTTGGTGTCAAGGAGAGCAAAGAGCCTGGGATGGAAGGCAAGAAGGGTGACATGTTCCATAGTGAGCAGAAAGCATTGCACATGTAATGAAACAGACCTGAGATTCTGTCTTGGCCTGGAACCTAGCTGGGGGACTGTGGGGAATGACTGCCTTTTTCTGACCCAGTTTCTTCTGTTTTTGTATTTAGGGGCTGGAGAGCTGGGGGGAGCTAATTTCTGAATACTAAAGGAGAAATCCCACTAAGTGCTCCGTAGTACAGATCTGAGAATGATGGAGCCACTCTGCCTAGGCCAGGACAGGCTGCCAGCACAGCCTCTCACCCAGTGGGATGGTATGGGCCTGGCTTTGATAGAGCATTGCCATATCAGGAATCTCTGGACTGATCCCTGCCCACCAAGGGCCATGAGGAACTCCATAAGGGGAGAGATGGAGGAGGGGCAGGCTCTGCATCCCAAGAACATTCCATTCCATCTGCGCAGACCAGTGGGGATCCTAGCCAAGGACAAAGGCCCAAGGGAACCTCTGCTTCTCCCCAGAGCCCCATTCCATAATACTGTGTCTTGTACAGGCTCCCCACAATGGCCCCTCTTGAGGTAGATGTTGAAGAGTTTGGGTGGGGCTGGGTGGGTGTGGGAAAGAGGCAATTAAAGCTCTTGGATTTATTCTTTCCAGCTCCTCCTAACTCCTTAGAGCTTCCACTCTATGGATCTGGACTCCAGGATTCTGCTCCTTCCCTGGACAGCTCCTTCAGGAAGACTTCAAGAATTGGCCCTACTCGGCCTCAGCACCCTCTTTATGGAAGCCCTCACTTCCCAGTGGCAAGGGGCTGGGTTCTGGGGAACTGGTGCATCCTATGAATTTTTATGCCACATTTGACTTTGCTTACACTGACAATTGGAGATGTTACCACAGGGCCCAGAGATGCAATCAGATTATTTGAGAGCACAGCAAACATTTCTAATGAAAAGGCTTTCTTTTAAAGAGAGTCATCATCCTTAAGCAAGTCTCAGCGTAGCTGGAGTCCACATTTTGATGGTGCCAGGAGGCCTGTTTGAGGGAATACTGAGAAACACTCAGTTTCCCTCACTTACTGTCCTGTTCTCCCCATGTAGGGTGTGCCTGTGCCCCCCACCCAGATAATCATCTGCTGCCTTGGGAGGGGGGCATCTCTTTCTCAGGAAGAGACGGGGGCAACATAAAATTCCAAGCAAAGTTTTAAATGCAAAAAGGAAACACATTTATTCAAGTATCCTGATAAAGAGGGGACACATTTACTCATACATAACCCAAAACTTGTAGAATTCTGCAAAGTGAATGTATATCAAATCTGTCCCCTGACATAGGCATTTGGGAAGAATAAATTTCAATAATGTAAGATGGAAGTATGTAGTTTTTGAGGTTCACTTTGTATGTGTCCTTGCCTTTCTTTTGTGTTTTTCACAGCTCTTTCAGTTGATAGTTCCTTGAGTTGCTTCTACTTAGTTTGGCGATCTGGGCCCATTGATTGGTTTGGAGACTGATTTCTCCCTTGATCTGACTCCCAGCTGGTCTTCCTGGGAAGTCTCCAGTTAAAGGACATGTAAGGAACCTCAGGGATGGTAATGCACCTTTGAGACCGTGACCCCAGGAGAGGTTTTTGTCTTTTTTTTTTTTTTTTTTAACTGGGTTTGAGCCCAGGGCCTTTACCTATGCTAGGCAAGTGCTTTACCCCTGAACAACCACCCTAGCCCTAACCATTTGTGCTAAGGTGGCAGCATGACAGCCTGTGGGGGTTGTGACTATAAACCTGCTTGTCCCTTATGGTCCCCCTAGAAGACAGGGCACATGCATACTGGGAGGATTTTTTTTTAAAGGTACTTGAAGAATTTAAGCTTTGGGCTTAAGAAACTAACAAATGGGCTGAGGGAATAACTCAGTGGTAGAGCACTTGCCTAGCACACAGGAAGCTATGGGGTCCAGCCCAGAATTTGGGGCTCCAAGGGTGGAAAGCTTTCAGTTCCTGGGCAGGGAGGGCAGGAGGGAGGCAGCTGTGGAGAGGGCTGCTGCCAGGAGCAGTCCTTCCTTTGAAGGATGCAGTCAAGCCTCATAACTAGGTGGAGTAGGAATAGGGAGGATAAACACCTTCTCCTTTCAGTCTCACTGTCACACAACCAGAAGCCAGGGAACAAGGGAGCCATTGATATCTCCATAGATGTCAGTCTCCTCAGGGTACAGACGGAAGGGTGGAGAGTGGGTCTGCAGGTGCGGCAGACAATGCAACTGTCTGGAAACGCCTTTCCTAAAGTCATAGCACTGTGGGTTCCCCTCTGGGCAAAGGTAGGTGGGGAATTTGAACGGGGAGGACAGGACTTTCTTCCCTCAGCTGTCCCCCGAGTCACTCTGATTCCCAGTTCCTGATTCCTGTCTTGGCATCTTAGGTGGCTGCAGAAATTGCCCACAAGAGGAACAAAGTCAGCCACTGAGTCAGTGTTTTTCTCACACCCAAAACACCATACCACTCCCAGACACACCCACAGGCATGCAGTTGCCACCACAGGCCTAGGACAGTCATCACAGGCCATGCCTAGTGTCATATACGTGGAGAAAATGTACCTCTTGGTACATTACTCTGCCAGTCACACATAAAATGACAAATGTTGCCGTGATGTAAAAAATGCCCTGGCACATTATATGTACAGATGTCCTGTCACAGTCATCCACATAAAGTCAGAGTGTAGGGACAGGATGGTACACAGCAGGAGTGCTTCTGGAGTTACAAATCTTGACTTCTTTGGCCTCAGTTTTCTCAATCTGTAAAGTGGAAACAATGCTCTTTTTTGTGGAGTTTTCACAAAGATGAAATGAGAGAACCATCAGGAAGGCCAGAAGACCGGAGCACGGTGCCTGGCCTGGAGTAAGGTTCACCAGATGGTAGCTGTGGCTGTGAACCCCGTCTTGCATGCCCTGACTGCCTCACACCCATGCACGTGTGTGCAGTGGCATGGGGCCAGCCAGAAACCCTCCAGCACAGCCCTCCCTCAGACAAGCCTGCCAGGGCACGTGTGCATCAGACAAGGCCCTCAGCCCGGAACATTGCCCAGACATCTACATGGCTCCCTTCCCACTGCCTTTAAAACTTTATGCAGTCAGATGGTGTCTCTCAATGAGGTGCACCCTGTCTTTTTAAATTTGCAAACCCAGCCCTTCCAATCCCTTTCCTTGCTGTATGTATTTTTATGCATCAGTGACCTTCTAAGGCCATGTGATTTATTTTGTGTGCCCCACTAGAATGTAATCTTCACAAGGGTAGGGGTGTCTGTCTTTTGTCTGTTGATTTAATTTATTCCCAGCACCTAGCCTGGTAACAGCCTGGTAGCTGGCACGGGGATGGGGGCTGGATGCTATGCATGCGCGCGGGCGCGCACGCACACACACACTCACGGTATAGGTTTCCGGTTTCCTTGTGCCCTTCAAACAATCATGGGCAGCTGATCCCCACCCCACTCCAATAAGCTGCGCCTGTTGTATTTACACTGAGTACCCCCCGTACCTATGTTCAAATGGCCAAACCAAGTGGAACAAACATCGTCCCTCCCAGAACCCCAGTTGTCAGCACAGTTGGGGTGGGGGTAGGGGACAGTTTTTAATCACCAAGTAAGAAAAGCCTTTCCAGTCAACCAGCCACTCACAGCCCAGGAGCAGAAGGGGCTGGGGCACCCAGCAGGGGCCCATGGAGCAGGTGAGGTGGCTGGACTCACCCTGATGACCTGAGACCTCCTCTGTGGCTTTGTCTTTCCCACCCTGGCTGGAACCATCGAAGTCACCACTTCAGAGGCCCCTAATGAGGCCCCTATGTTAAGAGCTTTGCAATCCTTGGATCAAAGAGGTAGGGTAAACAGTGGGCAGCGTCCAGGGGTGAGTGGCTGATGCCCTGAGGGAACAGCTCCTGAGGGCTTGTGGGTGGCACTTCCAGACAGCCTGGTATGGCCCCTGCTGGGTTCACAGAGACCGCTCCTCTGAGGGACCTGCTCACAGTGAGCCAGAGTCTACACATCTGCACTTGCAGGTGAGGACAAAGCCAAAGGATCAGGGAGTCTCTCCCAAGTAGTGAGGCCCTACCTGGGCACTACCTAGAAGTCCCCCATCTCAGCTGCCACTACTGGTCTGGATTCACCCAGCTTGTTCCCCACTTGCTCCCTGGGGAGAGATGACGTGGGCAGAGCTGGAATCAAGCAGCCCTGGGCACTGGGAGGGGAAAGCTAGGTCTGGGGCTACTAGAACCTCAGGTAGGAAGCCCGGAGACATGGAAATATTTCCTCTTCAATAAGAGTCCCAGACTTTCTGAGGCAACCCACAGGTGCAGGTAACACTGTAGACATAAGCTCCCAGTTTATGGTTGTCAGTCTGGGGATGGTAGGCGGGAAGGAGGAGCTGTCCTGCAGCCATGCCTAGACCTCAAGCCCCACCCACAGGCCACTTCCCACTATAAAAGCCAGACTCAGACTGGGGAGACAGTGGCAGCTCCACAGCCATGGAACGTCTTTCTTCCAGGAGAAAGCATGCTGCTGGGCTCAGTGTAGGGAATCTTTATTGACAGGTGGTGCAAAATAGCAAATCTAGAGCAATGGAAAAGGAGGTGGGGATGTGGCTCCCCTCCCCCATGTAAAAGTCCTACAACCAAGCCAGTCGGGCAGGAGTACTGGACTTGACTGTGACAGATGTGGACCCACCACCCTCTGAAGGATATATTCCCAGGCACCAGAGCTCCTCACAACCCAAGGAAAAGGAGCAGCACAGTGGGAAGGCGTGGGCTGCATCTCACCCTGGCTGCTTGGCTCCTGTTCTCTGCACACCTCTACCCCTTAAGAGGAAAGCTCCCCAGCTTGGGGTACAGGTTTTAGGAGAATGGGTTAAGCCCATCCCTCCCCAAACTCAGGGAGCTGCCTCATGCCTCCATTTCCCTCCTCCCAATGATTTAGATGGTTGGAGCTCCATACTCTGCCAGTGGTCCAGCCAGAGCCAAAGTGAGTACTCTCTGTCACATTCTGTATTTTAGCCAGTGCACGGGCTGCATGCCCTTGGGGGTAAATAGGATACCTAGGATAACTGTGGGCTGATGTAGTCAAAAAGATCTTTTCAAGGCCATGGAAGTCAACTGAAGATTTGGGGTGCTGAGGCTACCACCCAGTCTGCACCCAGTCTCCTGAAGGCCACTCATCCTCTGGACAAGCAGGCCCTGTGCCCCACAACCATGCAGTCCCAGGGTGTGGTGCAATGACCAAAGGGTCCTCCTGTCAAGAGCTCCAGCTTGGCCTTAAACCCACAGAAGCCTCACTTAGGGAAGTCTGACGGGTTCAGCTGAAGGCCCAACCCTGCAGCAGAGCTGGGCCAGCTGGCACAGCCTACCTGTCTTTGGTCGTATCCTCCACACCTTCCTGATGGCCCCAGCCCAAGAGGCCTGGTCCTTTCTGGCCAGGGTCTGAGTCAGTTACAAGGCAGCCAGGTGGGATAGGAGTGGGCCCGAGCCAACAGAGGCTGCACGGGGGTCACATAGTAACTGACAGTGGCTGGCACAAGCCCGTCAGCACCTGGGGGGCACCAAGCCAGGGCAGCAGTGGCAGCCGGGCCCTGCTCAGCCAGTGCCTGGAGAGCCAGTGTGGCAATGAGGTCCAGCGTCTGGCGGCGCTCATGGTTCATGAGGCACACGGTGCTCTCGTTGACCACCCTGTGCAGCGTCACCAGGCAGGCGTACTGGCGGGTGGTGTCGCCCTCGCCAAAATGGGCCTCCAGGTAGCGCTCCAAAGTGCGCTGCTGTTCTGCCAGGTCGGGAAAGTCGATGAAGAAGCGGGAGCACATGTACCGCTGCAGGGCACGCACATCAGTGCTGGGCCGTGGCCGGAAGCCCCGCACTAGGAGGTGGCAGTACTTGAGGAGACCACCGCCTCGAATCTCCTCTGGGCTGCGCGTGGCGATGACACGGTGCTGCAGGTGCTCCAGGGCCTCGGCGAAGTCCCCATACAGGCTCTCACCTGTCACCGTTGGGTGGAAGGCCTCAGACATGGGCGTGGATGAGCACTGGCCAAAAAGCAGCAGAGAGTCCAGGATGATCTGGAAGGAGTCGACACTGAACTCGAACTGGCGCCTCACCGAGTCCACAAACTTGAGCTCCACATTCTTACCACTCTTGTTGGACAGTGAGATGAGGCTCCAGTGGTCTGTGTCCGTGCACACTTTCACCAGCTTCTGCACGTATGCCTCTTTGAGTGTCAATGGTGTGATCTTGGCCCGGCTCACACCAGCTGGCAGGAAGTCCAGCAGGCAGGCTAGCACCACAGCCTTGGTCAGCTGGAAGCACGCCTCACTGTGCAGGTCCACCCGGAATACCAGGTCCAGGTCCTTGTAGCCCAGGCCACTCTCAGGGTGCAGCACATGGCTGGCGGCCGAGCCATGTAGCCGTACACTATGTACCCGAAGTCCCTGTTCCTCGAGGCTGCTGCGGACCACCTGAGGGGGGGACAGGAAGAGCTGTCAGGAGCCTGGGCTTCTAGGGGTTGCACTACAGACTTCCAGGTCCCCAAGAATATAATATTAACCACTGTTGACCACTTCCCAACTGTTTTTCCTTTGGAAAGTCATTTAACTTTCTAAGTCTTGATTTGCCAATCTGGAGAATGGTCTGTTTGAAGGAATGATTCAGAAAGAACAAAAGTAATAGCAAATACAAGCACAGAATTTACTAAACACCAGGCTCTGATGGAAGAACTTTATACATTAAAATATAAACTCAGCCATAGGGCCAGGGATTTAGCTCAGTGGTGCCACCGCTGCCTGCCTTGCAAGCACAAGGCCCCAAGTTTGATCCCTGGTACCAAAAAAAAGGAAAAGATAAGAAAAGAAAAAGAAAGACTCAGCTGGGCATGGTGGTACATCCTGGGAGGTTGAGGCAGGAGGATCCTAAGTTTGAGCCCAGCCAGCCTGGGCAACTTAGTGAGACTCTTGTCACAAAAATGAAATTAAAATAAAATAAAATGGCTGGTGATATAGCTCAGTGAGAAGGCCATGGATTCAATCCACAGTACCCCACCCCCAAAATCACAAAAACTCTATGAAGTAGGTACTATTACTTTTTACCTATGGGGAAAAAAACACAGAGGCCTAGTAATTGCCACAAGTCACAAAGATGGTGAATGCAAAGCTGGGAATTAAACTTAAGAACTATGCTATTCTAGGGGCCGGGGATTTAGCTCAGCGGTTCCGCCGCCTGCCTTGTAAGCGGAAGGATCTGAGTTTGATCCTCAGTACCCCACCCCCCCAAAAAAGAACTATGCTATTCTAGCTTTCCAAAACTGCAAGTAGAATATTTTGTATTGTGTTAGGCACTGCGTTCACTGCTCAAATGTGCTGGGAGTATAGTTGGCAGGTTCAAATGCATTACCAATAAAATTCATAGTAACCCTATGCTTGAATATTACTATTGGCATTGAGAGATGGGGGGACCTGAGGCACAGAGAGGTTAAGAAATAGGTCCAAAGTTATAGACAGGCTGAGACTAGGACCCAGGTTGGTTGGATTCTCAAGTCCATGTATGTTCTTTTCTTTCTTTTTTTTTTTGGTACCGGGGATCGAACTCGGGACCTTGTGCTTGTGAGGTAGGCGGCAGCACCACTGAGCTAAATCCCCGGCCATGCATGTTCTTTTGATGATCACACACACACATGCATGCGCCCCCCCCACACACCTTATTTCTTACAAGTGAGGCAAAAACTGTAATTTGCAGACAAGCAAACAGGCTTAAAGGAGAAGCATTAAAAAATGGCAGGGCTGAAAGTTAAAAAGTAAGATCTTTCCTAGTGCTGAGAAAGGGAATGGCTCAAGGTCTTAGAAAGCCTTGGAAGCCAAGTAAGGAGAGATGGAATCCTTTCTGAGAGCCATGGGTATGACGGCACACAGGACAGGACTTACAAATCCCTTTTTTTGAGACAAGATCTCACTATATAACCCAGGCTGGCCTCGAACTTGAAGTGATCCTCCTGCCTCAGCCTTCTGAGTGGTGGGATTACAGGCTTGCGCCACCATGGCTGGCTCTCTCCCCCCCCCCTTTTTTTTTTTTTTGAAACTTGCAAGTCTTGAGACTGGTCCTTTAGCTAGAGGGCTGTCTCTGGCCCGAGGCACAGGGTGGAGAAAAGAATGAGGCTGGGGGTCTGACATTTGGTATTCTCAGCAACCCAAAGTACTTCACAAGCTGTCCTGAAAGTGATCAGGCAGCATTCTTGCCCCAAGTGACTTTGCAACCCTGCCTTGCTGCCAAGTCAGCACCTAGCTCTGGGTCAGATTGTTCTGTCTCCCTGGGAATTACTTCAAAGAACACACCTAAGTGCTGAGGAGGCAAGCTGCAGTGGGGCAATCTGAGGCGGCAGGTGGCTCCTTCCAGGAAGTCTTCGTAGGAATTGTCATGGCAACGGGCGGGGGGGGGCAACTGGCCACCAGGAACAGGTAGGGGTGGGGTGGAGGAGGGGCATTTAGTGGTTAGGTGCCTGGTGAGTGCCAGGCACCGGACCTCATCAGAATCTATGGGAACCGGGGGTGTAACTCAGCTGTCCAGCACATGCTTATATTTAGCATGTACAAGGTCCCAGGTTAATTAAATCTCCACCAGCACTCCCCCCCAAAAAGCATTAATTGGGGACAGATCTTTATGATCTCCATGTTATAGATGGGGAGACGGAGGCTCACAGGAGTGAAATCACCTACTTGGGATCACACAGAGGTGCGTTCAAACCTTGTCTTTTTCTCTTTTTTTATAGTGCTGGTGGGAGTGGGGCTCCGGGGGAAGGAATCCAAGGCTCTGCACAAGCTAAACACCTGTTCTACCACTGAGCTCCCCCTTTGGCCCAGCCTACCCTCTTTCTACCAGAGTAGAAACTAGTGTTTTAATCTTCCTTCCCTTTCAAACTGTCAAAGTAAGGGGGACCCTCAAATCACTAAGCTTGGACCCAGGAAGTTGGAGAGCAGGAGGGTCAGGGCCCAGGGTCCTTGGCCAGACATGGGGCTGGTTGCTGCAGTCAGCCTGTGGGATTCCAGGGGCACCCTCACAGTTGTGCCCCGGCTAACCAACAAGAGATGTGACCCAAAGATGTTGAGCCAAGGATCCTGACAGACTTGCAGAGCAGACCAGCCCCCTCCCCAAGTCCCATTAGAGCTGACTGGGCCTTACTCAGTGCCAGCTCTGCTTCCCAGGCTGGTGCCCACCCCAGGGCATGGCATCTGGCCTGATGAGTAGGTAGCAGTACCCTCATTAACTCCCTGCGTCAGGGCCATGAGGCCAGCTGTGTCAGCCAGCCAGTGGCTGTTGTCTTTCCTAGGTGTGACTACAGCCAGTTTGGCAGGCAGTCCCCAGATACTGCCACACCCAAGGACTGCAAGGCAGCTTGGGTCTTCCTGAATCAGACTTTCTAGCTTCGAAGGGGGCAGTGACTTGTCTCCTTTTCTCCCGTGCCAAGGCCCTCCCTAGAACTGCTCCGCTCCAAGGCTGCTGCTGAGACCTGCAGGAAGACTAATAGCCACTGTCAGGCAGCAGGCTTGCAAAACTCACAACCAGAGCTGCCTTAGGCTGGCCTTCAGGCTGCAGCTGGAGAGGTTAGACTGTCTATACCAATTCTCTGGGCCTAGAGATGGCAAAGGACTTAACCAAGGTCACACAGTTAATAACTGGCTGAGCTTAACTAGAACCAGGTCTTCCATAGCCACAGGGAGTGGTGGAGGGCTTCAAAGGGGTGGGTCCCTTTGGCCCAGGTACAAGCAAGGACACATCTCTAACTTCTGGGATTACTGTTGTAGGCAAAGCCTTCTGAGGTGCAGAGGAAGAAATGTTCCAATTTGTTTTGTTTTGTTTTTTTGAGGTAGGTTCTTGCTCTGTACACCAGGCTGGCCTCAAACTCATGGTGATCCTCCCGGTTCAGCTTCCCGAGTGATGGGATTACAGGCATGTGCCACCATACTTGGTTTAAAGGTTCTAATTGTTGGGTTTTTTTGTACTGGGAATCAAACTCAGGACCTTGCACTTTCAAGGCAGGTGCAGTGCCACTGAGCTAAATCCCCAGCCCTAAAGATTCCAATTCTTGAGCCACTGGCTACTCAACACAGTGAGAAGACCTATCAAGCACCTGTGACGTTCTCCCCCACCCATACCCCTGCCCATATCCCTGCTGTGAATTTTTTTTTTCCTTTTTGAGAGAGTGTCTCACTATGCATATCAGATTGGCCTTCCATTCACTATGTACGCCAGGCTGGCTTTGAACTTTCAGTGATTCTCCTGCCTCGGCCTCCTAAGTACTGGATTATGGGCATGCGCCACTATGGCCCAGCTTCAGCCATTAATTTCTGCCAGAAGACAAGACTTTCTTTGGTGTAGAGACAGCTGTATGGGCCAGGTGAATGCATCTGTTCCCTTTGAATTGTGGAACCAGAAAGGTTTTTGTCTGTTTCCTTTTGGTACTGATCATTTAACTCAGGGCCTTTATACTAAGCTGCATTCTCAGCTTTTTTTTTTTTTCCTTTTGAGACAGGTTCTCATTAAATTGCTCAGGCTGGGATAAAACTTGAGATCCACCTATTTCAGCCTCCCTTACTATGGGGATACGATTACAGGCATGTACCACCATACTCAGCAAAGGCAACTGATAGAGTCCAGGTGCTGAACACAGATGTCCATCCTCTGCACCCAGCTTTGAAGTCTCTACCACTACCCCTCTACAGCTGACAGCTTCCTGTTCTACAATGTTTCTGACCCTAGTGGGGTTTTTTGTTTTTTGTTTCAGACATGGTCTCACTATGTAGTTCAGCCTGGCTTTGAACTCATTATGTAGTCCAAGCTGGCTTCAAACCCACGGCGATCTTTCTGCCTCAGCCTCTCAAGTGCTGGGATGACAGGTGCCATCATGCCAGGCAAGGAGGACACTGTACTACTACAACATGGTGAAGTCAGCTCCTACTGGCTGCAGTCTCCCTCACATGGCTGGGAGTACCTGAAGGCAAAGAGGCTATGTCCTAGTCACATCTGTGCTCTGGTGCCTGCCTTCATGGGGCTTAGGACTGGGCAGGGACCAATACGGGTACACTGACCACTGCTGTCCCTGCAGAGGAAGCTGGCACACTGGATACCACCTTCTCACCTCTCCCACCCCAGGACTGAGCCTAGGTCCTGGGGAGAAAAGCCTCAGCTGGTTTCCTAACCACCAAGATAACAGTGGGCAGTGAGGAATGTCTGGGCAGCCAGGAAGGCCTCAGTGAGTCCCACTGGTGCTGTGGGTGAGTCAGCCCAGGAGAATCCACCCCTCCCACTCAGTTCCTAGTTCCTGGGAAGGGAGGGGAAGTTATCCCCCACCAGGAATTTCTCCCCCTCTGCTAGAGGAATGGCCTGCTGCACCTAGCTTGTATGGAAAGTCCTTGTTCTGGAAGGAACACATAAGGAATCAGCACTGGATTTTCTGGTTTCTATCAGGGAACTCCCCTAAGCCTTAACTGCTGAGCTTGGGAGCCAGGGAAGGAGTAAGAAAATTTTGAACCTGCTGCTCCCAGTTCCCTGGAAGGCCCGATTGCCTGGGCTGGACTTTTACCTCAATAGGTAACTTTAGATAGCTCACCACCCCTCCTGAAGCCTCCTCTTCCTCAGCTATAACATGGGTGCCATAATTACTATCTTCTGCTATTTCAGAACATAACAGTGCTTGGGATACCCAGATGAAAGGAGAGCTTTGGAATGATGAAGGGGTCAGGTAAAAGGAAGAGTCTGAAGGAGGGAAGGACTGCCAAAATTCTCTCCCGTCCCTCAAGACAGAGATGGGCTTAGGATTGAGACCTGGACTGGCCTTCATTTCCAATCTTTAATTATTTCCCCCCAAGGTGAGGATCACACGTAGGGCCTTGTGCATGCTAGGCAAGTGTTCAAGTAAGCCACATTCCCAGTCCACTTCACTTCCAATCTCGAGGAGGAAGAAGGATACCTCAACTGGCTATTTAACATTGCCCTCAGGGATGGGGGTGTCAGGTCTGGCACTTAATCTTCTCTTGTCCTGACCCCAGTGAGAGGGAGATTTCTGCTGGGATTTCTGGGCTTTTTCACCTTGACAGGGCTTCCTGAGCCAGGGACTGTGGCAGAGTGCCCCTACAACCTTGAGACAGGGACAGGAGAGATGGTCCAGGGACGATAGGTGGAGAAAAAGCTACTTTGGACCCAAGTAACACACTAGCCATGGGAAGGACCCCTGGCATCTTTTGTCCTTGCAGTCCAGGAGATGCCCCTCCGGGTCCCTCTACATTCTTCTCTCTCCATGCCTGGGCTTGGGTGAGTGGTGGTGGTGGCTGTGGCGAAGTGGCGGAATCAGGGCTCCCCAGGGCGGAGGACGCAAAGATCAAGTGGGGAAAGTTTATCAGGTACAGGAGGAAGATCTCTGGTCTAGCATTAATGTGCTATGCAGCTGTTACAGGTCCCATTCCCGTTCCTCAGTTTCCCCAGCTGTCCAGCAAACTGAACAGACTCCAGCTGTCTTCCAGGCACAAGGGAATTGGGACAGACCCCCACCGGCCACCTCCTCACCTGCACGATCTGCCGGGGCTGCATGCTCAGCGTGGGGAAGTTGCCGCGCCCGTGAATGGGAATCGGCTCGCTCAAGAGCGCGTCCAGCCGCTTCACCTGTGGCCAGGTCAGCCTGCTCAGGTGCCGTTCAGGGGAAGCAGACGAGGCCTCCGGGTCCGGGCCGCCGCCTCCCGGGGCCACCGTGGCCGCAGCCGTCCCCACCTGCGCAGCTGCCCCGTCCAGGCGCTCAGCCCCGCTCTCCGACGGCATCATTCGCCTGGCCCCGGGGCCCCGACGGCAGAAACCGAGGGGGTGGCTAGGGGGAAGAGAGCAGGGGGAGCGGCTGGGCCTAGGCTAGGGGGCGGGGATGCAGGAGCAGGGCGGCAGCTGCGGCAAGGAAAGCCCTAAGCACACCTGCGCAGCGGCACCAGCGGCGACCCTGGAGCCCGTGGTCCGCAGCCCAGCAGACTCTTATAGGCCGCGGGCGACACGTTCATTGGTCCTGACAGCTGTCACACAGCCGGAGCCGGCCCGCCTCTCAACGTCCCTGCTATTGGGTAGCAGAGTTTTGCACGTGAGTCATAGTTCTAAAGGAAGATTCCGATTGGCTGGAAGGTATACCCCTGCCCCGCCCTCCTTCCTAGGCTGAATGCCCTCCTTTGGGCTTTTAAGAACTTACGTGAACTGTGATTGGCTCGCGGGAGCCTGAATTTAAAGGCACCGCGCCGTCTAGGGGCTGGAGTAAGGGAAGAGGTCTGTAGAGTTCGTTGCGGAGTCAGATCACTCAGGTAGGTTTGTTTGTTTGTTTATTTATTTATTTATTTATTTATTTATTTATTTATTTTCTTTCAGATATGCGCTGGAAGAAACTGAGAAATTACCTAGCCTAGTCCTGGTCATCCGCTACTTTCAGGAGCCCAAAGAGATTGAGTCACTAGCTCAACTCCACACTATACTCTTCCAGAGACTAGGAAAGGTAACTTATTCTATATAACGGGGTAGGGGGCCGGGGATTTAGCTCAGTGGTTTCGCTGCCTGCTGCGCAAGCGCAAGGACCCGAGTTCAGTCCCCGGTACCAAAAAAAAAAAAAAAAAAAAACCCCAACAAACTGTATAACGGGCTAGATGCTTCTACACTCTCTTGACAGGCCCTTGCAAACCACAACGTGGCTGGCGTTCATGTACTAGTTTAGGTAAGGAGCTGCTCAGAGAGGGGCTGAGAGTTCCCCAGTGTCACAGGCTCCGACCGAGAACTAGGGGGAAAGAGTCTATGGCACCTCCTCTTTTCACTGCACCTGTCTGGACCCAGGGCCTTTCTGGGGCTAGACTGAGAATGTATACTATGTTTACATGTTTTTCTCTCCCATTTTACTTGCCTAGAGGATGAGACTTATTATGGTTACTTTTTTATTTTTATTAGTGCATGTTTGGCAGTACATAATGATTATATATCTGATGGGGAACTGGTACAAGTACACAGTGCATCTTAATTCTTTTTACATCCTTTTTCTCCCCTCCTCCCTACCCCATGGTTTTTGAATTCATCTTTTTCTGATATTAAGTACATGTGTTGTGGCAAAAGTTCAGAGATTGTCTTTCTGACCAATTATTATAATTTTTTCCTTAGGTAATTCTTCTACTACTATATCAAATTAAGTATCATTCTCCCATCCTCCTGTGCGGCAAGCTGGGAAGGGGTAATAGGGTAGATTTACAGAAGGAGAAACCAAGACCTAGAAACAATAAACCACATCCCAAGGTCACAAGCTGACTCTGACCTACTGGGGCCCAGAACCCAGGAGGCTGCTCTCTTCTCCTGAAGGGAGGCAGCCCAAGTAAGACATTGCCCCCTGTCCTTCCAGCTCTCATCCATCTACATCAGAACCCTCAGGGCTTCCACTAGTCCTTAGAGAGAGAACCCAGGCTGGGCTTGTGACCTTGGGCAAGTCCCTCCCACTGTCCTCTGTCTTTGTTTTACCCTCTTTTGAAAGATAAGAAACAGATAAGAAATCCCCTTTGGCTTCCTGCAGAGTCTCCAAACCCTGGAGCTAGCTGAGACAGCTTCAGATTCCACAGCAGCCCTATCTCTCGCCACTACCTCCCTGCCCCAGCAGAGAAGGAGAGCAAAGGAAACTAACATTTACTGAATGCTTACTACACCCAAGGTAATTTTACATTCCTGACCTCTAATTCCTAAAAATTGATGCCACGGGATATGGGGTCATTATTCCCAATTTATAGATAAGAAACAGGCTTAGAGGGCTGGGGATTTAGCTCAGTGGCACTGTGCTTGCCTTGCAAGGACAAGGTCCTGAGTTTGATCCCCCGTACCACAAAAAAAAGAAAGAAAAAACACAGAGGTTTAGATAAGCCAACTGATATGCCCAAGGTTATGCAACTACTAACTGGCACTATGGGACTTTAACTCAAGTCTGCTGACTCCAGAGTCCTATTTTTCACCTGATCTGAGGAGTGTTGGCACAGATCGGGCTCATGCCTGACACACCCCTAGAACCACCCATAACATCCATCTATCCATTTGTTCATTCTTTAGCCGATCTATCACCTATGTCCCGGGTCCTGGGCTAGGCCCTGAGGTAGGATAGGCAAGGTCCTTGTCCCTCTACTTGTCCTTCTAGAACTTTTTAATGTAGAAAGATAATAGTGAAGGAAACAAATGAGACACTTCAGATAGTGCTAAGGAGAAAATAAAACAGGATCATGGGACAGAGAACAACCGTATGTGCATACATATGGGGTTGGGGCGAAAGAGAGCAAGAACAAACTAAGATATCAATAGATGCCATTGTCACGGGAGGCCACCCTAATGAGGTAATCCTTCATTTTTTTTTTGTTGTATTAGGCATTGGATGCAGGGCCTCTCAAATGCCAGGCAAGCACTCTACCACTGAGGTACATAACATCTCCATTTTGAAACAGGGTCTTGCTGAGTTTCCCCAGGCTGGCCTTGAAAGTGTAATCCTTTTACCTCAGCCTCCCGAGTAGCTGGGATTACAGCCATGAGCCAACACCTGCCAGCTCCATTTCTGCCCTGTCTCTCCGTGCTTGTCAACAGAAAAAGTACCTGGTTTCACATTCCTAGAACCCTGAAGGCCCCAGCTAGGAGAAACTTGGATAGTCATTTTGTTCACTCTCTTCTCAGTTTTTCAATAGGGAAACTGGGGTACCAAAAAAGCAGGAAGGAGGCCGGGGATTTAGCTCAGTGGTTCCTTGGCCTGCCTCGAAACCACAAGGTCCTGAGTTCGATCCCCCAGTACAAAAAAAAAAAAAAAAGCAGGAAGGATTTCCCCCATGGGGACTAGCTAGGGCTGGAAACCCTGCCGGGCCAGGGCCTCCTGGGAGCTGGCTAGAGCTGTGCCACTTCACCAAGGTTTTTAAGTAAGCTCTGAGATTTGTTTTCCACACTCCTTCCTTCTTCTGTCTGGGCTGGAAAGAGCAATTAGCAAATTTGAGCATTGTGAATCGATGCTCCTCTGTTGATGCTTCCATTCCCAAAGCCAATGATTTCCATAGTTGCCGAGTGTGAATGAGAGTGACTTGAGAACGTAGGAAGCTGAGAGTGTGTAGGGAACAGGGGAAGGGGACGTTACTAGAACCTCTGCAGTTAAGTCCTAGTCTCCTGCGAGCCACGGCAGTACACGGCAAATTACAGGAAAGGTAGAAAAATGAGACTAAGAAGCTGAGTTTTGGGTCTGATCAGTGCTTCTCTGGGCAGCAAAGACAAAAGCCCCCAGCTTACCGCACCTTTTATCCTTTTATTCAGTACATCGGGAGAAACAAATGTAACAAATGACTTGCAGAGAGTTCAGTACATCCACATAAACAAGATGGTAACAGTACAGGAACAATGAGGAAGTAAGTAGATGTTTGTTCCTCCCAGGATGTTTTCAGCTCCCAGGGTGTTTCTTGTCCTGGAGAATCACAGCATCACTGGATCATTGAGGTCTCAGTTGTGACCGGAGGCCAAAATGGAATTATGGCTTGGAATTCCATAGCTGGACTGTAGGCAAGAGAACTAGGCTAACCAAATGATTTTTCCCTAAAATTATGTAGCATTGCTCCCGACAAGAGTGAGCAAAGGTATATCCTGTAGGATCTTGCGTTCTCAACAAGCCCAGCTTTTAATTGTCTCGGTGAATGGGTGGGAATCTTGGCTGGGTATATCATGAGTGAAACTAGCTTCCTGATGTTATGGAGCGTCTCCCTGGAACCCTGTACAAACTTCCAATCTTAATTATGACTCCAACTGATTTGAAAAGATGACTTACTCTGTATGATCATTGAGGCTTGGTGATATAACCAAGTCATTTTCCCTACCTGGACCTCAGTTTCTTATTCTATAAAATAGAAACCAATTAGGAATCAGGCTCTTCCACTCATACCTCCTTTGATTTGAGGGGGCAGGAAAGGAGAAGGGCCTTGGTCCCCACATTGGCTCGGTCTGTTTTGGAACCCCAGACAAGAGCATCTGGGAATTGCTGTGCAACTACATTGTTGCCTACATCACTGAGCCTGCTCTGTGCATGGAACCAGGCCAGGTGATTTCCACAAGCTCATTCAATTTTCAGAACATAATCCTCTGGAACAGGAGCAATCTCTCTCTTTGCAGGACAGGAAACTCAGGCTCGGAGAAACTAAGAAATTCGTGCAGGGCCCACAGCTGGGAAGAGACTTCATATCCAGGTCTGGCTGAATCCTAGGCCCATGCCCTTCGCAGGACCCTGCCTCTGAGGACGCCTTGGGAAGTTCACGTACGCACAGACGGTCCTCTCCTGTGGAGGAGCACGTCTCCTCCTACCATTCATGCTCGCCACCCTCCCTCATATTGTCAAGGCCAAGGTGATGGACCTGTTGTCATAACTATAATTGCACCCAACCCTGCATAATTTTAGTATCCAGTATCCAATCCTCCTTAAACCACCTCCTATCTTTTCTGCTCATGTTGTGTAGACAGTAATTCCAATAATTCTTTGACCCACCAGGACCTTCAATCCACTGTTCCTCTCTTCGGGTCTTGACTTTCCTCCTTAGTCAGCTTAGGGACTTGGTCCATCACTGTAATTACTTCCTTGAATACATCTTCAACCCCCTTGCTCCCCACTCATTAAAATCTCATCCACCTGACAAGGCCACACCCTGCCTAAACCTTCAAAGCTGCCGGAGCCAGGGACCCACACAGCCCTGCTGACTTTAACATCAGCCCACCAGCCTGGGGGTATAGGCGTGTTGTCTGCCAATCCCTCTGTCTGACCTGGTTCCCCCACCAAGGTCAGGCCATACCAGGGTCTCCTCAGTCCCGATAGCTCCTCCTGCCCACATCCTCCTCTCAGCTGAGACCTTACTTTCCACCTCACTGAGGAAACAAGCCATCTGCAGAGCACTGGCCCTCCACACACCCTCCACCATTTGCCCGGCTCAGCGCGCTGTTCAGCTACTCCTCTGCTGTGGGATTGGACCAGTTGCTCCTCTCTCGGACTGCCCAGTCTCATCCTCCTCACTCCAGAGACTTTCCCTCTTTCGCTGACTGGGTCATTCCAGTCTGCATTACAACATCATTTCTTGCTGGGGTAGTGGTGCACACCTGTAATCTTAGCATTTGGGAAGCTGAGGCAGGAAGGTCTCAAGGCCTTGAGTTCAAGAGTCCAAGGCCAGCCTGAACTACACAGCCAGACCATGTCTCAAAAACAAAAAAATACTATAAATAAATCAAAGAACCCCTCTTTAAAAAAGAAATTTTATTGGTACATTTTAGGTATACAATATAATGATATTTATCATTGGAGATTTGTACCTTTACATAATCTATCTTGTTTCTTATTTTTTCCCCATTCCCCTGCCCTCCCTTCAACCCTTCCACCCCTCTATATTTACAAAGACTTTGTTTCCATTTTCTCATGTTAATTCCATTCCCTTCTTTCCTTTCCCCTACCCCTACCCCTCCCATTTCCCCTTCCCTTTTGCACCTTTTCTTCCTATTTCACATTATCTATTATACACTTTGACCCGTATTTACACTTTCAGTTTCTCATGGCAGAAAAACTATTGGGTATTTACACATGTTGTCCCATTTATTTCACTTAAGAGGATGGCCTCAATATGCATCCATTTAGCTATAAATGTCTCTAATTTCTCATTCTTTATGGCTGAGTAGTACTCCATTTTATATTTTTTAAAAAAACACATTTTCTTTATCCAGTCTCCAGTTAATGGGGAATTCGGCTGTTTCCAAGCTTTAGCTATTACAAACTGTGCTGCTGTGAACATGGGTGCACATATATCACTGTGGTATGATTCTTTTAATTCTTTTGGGAAGACACCCAGCAGGGGAATACCTGGGTCAAATGGGACCTCTAAACCCAGTTCTTTGAGGTATCTCCATACTGATTTCCACAGGGGTTGCACCAGGCTACACTCCCACCAACAGTGGGAGTGTTTCCCCACAGCCCCACCAGCATTTGTTATTGGTTGATTTCATGATAGCAGCCATTCTTTCTGGGTTGAGGTGGAATCTCAGCATTGTTTTCATTTGCATCTCTCGAATGAGCAGTGATGTTGAACATTTTTTTCATATGTTTATTTGCTATTTCTACTTCTTTGAGAAATCTCTGTTCATTTCAGATGCTCATTTTTGGATTGGATCTTTAAATTTGAGAGGTCTGATTTTTTTAAGTTCTTTATATACTCTGGATAGTAGACCTTTGTCTGAGGAACATCTGATAAAATTTTTCTCCCACATTGTGGGTTGTCTCTTCATGCTGTTGGTGGTTTCTTTTGCTGTGCAGAAGCTTTTTAATAAGAAGAGATCCCATTTGGTGATTCTTTGTGCTACTTCATATAGAACCGAGGTTTTGTTCATGAAATCTTTCCCTATGCCAGTGTCTTCAAGAGTTCTACTTAGGGGCCGGGGACTTAGCTCAGTGGTTTTGCTGCCTGCTGTGCAAGCGCAAGGACCCGAGTTTGATCTCTGGTACCAAAAAAATAAATAAATAAATAAAAAGAGTTCTACCTAACCTCTTCCAGCCGGTTTAGTGTTTCTGTTTTGTTTTGTTTTTTGGTACTGAGGATCAAACTCTGGACCTTGTGCTTGTGAGGCAGACATCAGAACCACTGAGCTAAATCCCCAGCCCTAGTGTTTCTGTTTTGATACTTAGATCTTTAATTCATTTTGATTTTAGTTTAGTGCATGGTGAGAGATATGTCTAGTTTAGTTTTAATCTTTGGAAAGTTGAAACCCCATTTTTGCAGCACCATTTATTAAAGAGGCTATCTTTCCTTCAGCAAGGGCATTTGGCTCCTTTGTCAAAGATGAGGTAGCTGAGTATGTCTGGAGTTGTTTTCTGCATCTTCTAATCTGTTCCACTGGTCTTTGGGTCTGTTTCTTTGCCAGTACCATGCTGTTTTTATTACAGTAGCTTTGTAGTATAATTTCAAGTTGGGGATTGTAGTACCCCCTGCTTGTCTTTGTTGCCTAGAATTGTTTTTGCTATTCCAGGTCTCTTGTTGTTCCAAATGAAGTTTTGGATTGTTTTCTCAAGGTCCGTGAAGTATGCTGCTGGAATTTCAATTGGGATTGCATTGAATCTATATAGCAGTTTTGGAAGTATGGTCATTTTCACTATATTGGCTCTTCCTACCCAGGAACAGGGGATGTCTTTTCATTTTCTGATATCCTCTTCAATCTCAAAGAACCTCTCTTGACCCACCTCCTTCTCCTTTGATCCTGCTTCTCTAAACACTCTGAAAATGTCTGCCCTTGCAACCTGCAGTTTTTTTCCCCTGTTCTCCCGTCTATGTCTCTGTCTCAGTCTCTGTCTCTGTTTAGTGGGGATGGGCCTAACGCATGCTAAGTGTATGATCTACCACTGAGTGACACATCAGCCCCATTTTTTTTATTTTGAGACAGGATCTCACTGTGTAGTCCAGGCTGGCCTCCAACTCACTGTGATCTTCCTGACTCAGCCTTCTGCATGCTGGGATTACAGGTCTGCACCACCACGCCTGGCTGTATTTTTTCTTTCTTGCCAAATATCTTCTGTGAATATATGATATACCAAATAATATTTATTCATTGATGAACAGTGATGGACATTTGCCACACGTTTGGGTTGTTTCCACTTTTTGGCTATTGTGAAGAATGTTGGCTGGGAACATGCAGGTCTATTTTCCTGTTGATATATGTTTTCATCTTGCTTGGGTGTATACTCAAGGGTGGAGTTGCTGATCACAGGGTTGTTTTTTGTTTAGCCATTTGAGGAACTGCCAGATTGTTTTCCAAAGCAGCTATACCATTTTGCATTCTCACTAGTACTGTATGACAGCTCTAATTTCTCCATATCCTTGCTGACACTTGTTATTATCTGTCCTTTTTGATTATAGCCATTTTAGTGGGTGGGAAGTGGTATCTCATTGTGGTTTTGATTTGGATTTTTTGATAGCTAATGATGTTGAACATGTTTTCATGTGTGTCTTGGTCATCCATATCTTTGGAGAAATGTCTATTCAGATCCTTTGTCCCTTCCCTTTTGTGGTGCTGGGGATGGAAGCCAGGTCCTTATACATGGTAGGTAAGTGTGCTACCACTGAGCTACCACCCCCAGCTCTTTTTTAATTTGTTTGTTTGTTTTTGAGACAAGGTCTTGCTGTGTAGCTCAGGCTGGTCTCGAACTCACTATGTAGACCAGGCTGGCCTTGCACTGGAGACTCCTGCCTCAGTCTCCCAAGTGGAGGGCATGCAACACCACAGCTGGCTAATCCCTAGCCCTTTCTAAATTGTCTTTTTGAAACAAAGTCTTGCTAAGTCGTCCAGGCCTTGAATTTGTTATTCTTCTGCCTCCCTCTCCAGTAGCTAGCATTACAGGTATGCACCACTATGCCTACTTCCTTTACTTATTTTTATTTTTATTTTTGGTACTAGGGATCGAACTCAGGTCCTTGAGCTTGTGAAGCAGGTGGCAGAACCACTGAGCTAAATCCCCGGCCTGTCTTTTACTTTTTTTTGAGACAAAGTCTCACAATGCAGTCCACGCTGGCTTTGAACTTGTTGTGTAACTTAGGCTGGCCTTGAACTCATGCTCCTCTTGCCTCAGTCTGAGATTACAGTACAAATATATACCAACACACATAGTTCCTGTGCCATGCTACTTATTATTATCATCATTAAGTTGTGTTCTTTATATATTCTAGATGTGAGTCCCTTATCAGATGTATGATTTGCAAATTTTCTTCCCATTCTAATTGTGAACTAACTCTCTCTCTCTCTGTCTCTCTGTCTCTCTGTCTCTCTGTCTCTCTGTCTCTTTTTTGAGACAGGATGTCGCTGTGTAGCACAGGCTGGATTTGAACTCATGGAAATCCTCCTGCCTCAGCCTCCTGAGTGCTGGGATTACAGGCATGTGCCACCATGCCCAGCAAGGGTTGAAGTTCTGATTTTGTGTGTGTGGTGTTGGGGATTGGACCCAGGGCTTGATGCATGTAGGGAACCACTCTACCACTGAGCTACACCCTCAGCCCTTTTCTTTTTTAATTGACATAATTGTGTACATTTATGAGGTAAAATGTGGTACTTAATACATGGACATACTATGCAATGATCAAATCAGCATAATTAGCATATCCACCACAAAAAACACTGTTATTTCTTCGCAGTGAGATGATTTGCAATTCCCACTTCTAGTTATTTTCAAGTATCTATTATGTTATTATTAATCATGGTTACCTTATTGTGTAACAGACCCTCAGAACTCATTCCTCCTATCTAATTGTATCTTTGTACTCTTTGACTTATCTGTCTCCTCCCTGTCTCCTGCCCTCCTTAGTCTCTAGTAACTATTATTCCAATCTCTATCTTTATGAGAACAGCTTTTTAAAATCTCACATATGAGTGAGATCATGTGGTACTTGTCTTTCTGTGCCTATTATTTCACTAAACATAATGTCTTTCAGTTGTATCCATGTTGTGGCAAATGACAAGATTTCATCCTTTTTATGGGTGTGTAGCATTCCATTGTATATACATATATACACAACACATTTTCTTTATAAATTCACCCATAGATGGATACATAAGTTGATTCCACATTGTGGCTATCATGAATAGCATTGCAATAATCATAGGAATGCAGTTATCTCTTGGCATACATACTGATTTCATTTCCTTTCAATATATACCCAGGAGTGGGACTGCTGGTTCACACAGTCCATGGTTCTATTTTTTCTTTTTCTATTTTTAATTTTTTGAGGAACTCCCATACTATTTTCCACAATGGGTGCACTAATTTTTTGTTTTTTGGCTTTTTTTGGTAGTGGGGATCTATTAGGACCTTATGCTTGTGAGGCAGGTGTGGTGCCACTGAGCTAAATCCCCGCCCCTGTCTGCACTAGTTTATATCCCCCGCCCAGTGTGTAAGAGTTCCCTTGCTATCTTTTGTCTTGACTGGAGTGAGGGGACAGCTCCTTGTAGTTTTGATTTATGTTTCCCTGATCATTAGTGATGTACCTTTTTTGTATACCTGTTGCCATTTGTATGTTGTTTTGTTTTGTTGGTGCTAGAGCTCAAAGCCAGGACCTTGTGAACACTACACTATAACCCCAGGCCTTGAGTTTTTTTTTTTTTTCGGTACTGGAGATTGAACTCTGGAGTGCTCAGTTACATCCTCAGCCCTTTTTATTTTTTATTTGGAGACAGGGTCTTGCTAAATT